TATCTCCAGTTGCCTTGATCTATCCACTACCCTTCGCCTCATCCTTTCCTATATCACTCCCATCTGATCTTGCTCCAAATCTTCTGTAACCCCTTGCGTCCTAGTGGCTTCCCGCCTTGCTTGGGGTGAAACGCTTAAAAAAAAATAAAAAATCGGGACGACTCTGTGAGCGTATTAAAAAAAAAACATTCTGGGCGGGATCCAGACTCACAATCTTGAAATTTTGAACTCCCAACTTTTCATGACTGCGATTGTTTTAGGCCGATTTTTACGTGATTTTTTGCGACAATTTTTTTTTTACCTTAACAATTTTTTATAATTTGGAAATAAATTTGGGAATAATCGAAGTTAATTGAAAAAGTCACCCATGAAATAAAAATAATTTTTTGTACAGAAAGTAAAGACCTACGTTCATCAAAGTTTCTTTAAATTAAATGGCGACAGAAGAATTATCGTTGAACTTTTACAAGGAACCTGAAATATTAAAGCAATACTTAAATGCAGTGATCAATTTTGAGTTCTTCTGGAGTTTAGTGTTGCCTATTGCATCTGCTCCTCCCTAGCTATTGTGTTGAAGATCCAATCAAGGGCCCTCTGCACTGGGCAGCATTTAAGTTAGTAAATATATAGATAAGAGTTTTTTAAGATAGTATATATATATATATATATATATGTGTGTGTGTGTGTGTGCGCTCGCGCGTGCATGTGTATATATAATACGTATTCCCTTTTACATTCACTTTTGTCGATATTTGTTCATTTAAAATTGTAATACCAGACTTTAACTTGAATCAAGTAAATTTGCGGAGGAGAAAAAAAAACATGTTGACTATTTTTTATGGAAATGCGAAGATGCCTGTTAAGCAGAGTCATACATGAAACTGGCTATAATAATTTCATGAGATGATATGAACGAATTTTCGATGCCTGTCTGCATCTGTCTACTTTTGGTGATAATAGACGTATATATTTGTTCGTGAATGTAAGTCGCCCACGCGTTTATACCGAAATAAATAAGTAAAAAAAAAAAAAACACGAAAAAGGAGTTTGATTTTAAGTCCTTTGATATAAAAGCATGCAATTAGCCATTCCACTCGAGTGAAGAATGCCACTTTTAAATAAACTTCAGTCTAAATGAAGAACTTGAAGTGTGTTAAAACAGAAACTAAAATTGTTCGAGTTGGAAGGACGAATTCTCACCAAATATTTACCGCATGTCGGCTTAAAATAAAAATATTGCAAAGAAATATTTCGGATAGGCTTACATGTTCGGAATCCATTATCCGAAATTTTGGGGACCGGAAGTGTTTCGTTTTTCAGATTTTGGAATACAGATTTACAAAGTTATATTGATTTATGAATTAATAATTTTTAAATCTATGGTTTTATTTCACACTATTTAAATGCATACCATTTAAAAAATTTTGCTAAGGGTGCAGTTATATTTTCATTTGCTCCTAGGTGTGCCGTTGCTTAAAAAGTTTGAGAAATACATATATATATATATATATATATATATATATATATATATATATATATATATAGTTGGTATTTACTTGATTTACTTGACGCCACACTGAGTCAGGATGTGACACAAGGTCTGTTTTAACGTGTGGAACCCTAGTGTTTTCACTCGGGCCACTGGTCTAACCTGGTCTTAGCTGGTCATACCTTGTCCAAGCTGTTCAGAGCTGGTCTAAGCGAGTCATAGCTGGTCTTGGCTTTTCATAGCTGGTCCAGGCCCGAGCCGGTCCAACCTAGACATAGCCGTGATACCCCCAGCACAGGGCCGAAGCACAAGTGCCAGGAATTTTATTGCCCATATCACTCACAAGTGTGTTTTGCAAAGTTTTCAGCTGGGGAAATATATCTTTTACTTTTGCGCTCTTGTCATATCGTGTTGTGAGAAAGAATTCAACACAAAATATATTTCAAAGTGTTGCTGTGACGACCGCTAACAAAAAAAAAATGGCGTCACCGTAGGCTACATAACAGAACAGATGAGTTGGGGGTTATAACAACTGCATATCATGTAGGAACCTTCCTAGTGCTTAATGATTTTTTTCATTTGTGGCAAGTCATGTCAGCACCTGAAAAATTTTGGGATTTTGGAAGCTTTCAGATTTTGGAATTTCCGATAAATAAATTATGAATCTGTAGAATCTAATCCACTCCTAAAAAATATATATATACATATGTATATACATATATACACATACACACACACACACACACACACACACACACACACACACACACACACACACACACACACACACATATATATATATATATATATATATGGTAGATGTATATAAATATCCATACTGTTCAATAAATAAATAAAAACAGTGAATCTACTCAAATATGAGTATCCATAAAAAATAACGTTTAAATAAATTATGAATCTGTCGGATCTAATCCACTCCCTAATATATATATATATATATATATATATATATATATATATATATATATATATATATATATATATACAGGGCTGCAAAAGCAAGGATACAGGAAGTATCATACCAGTATTACAATAGTGGTTGGATGATTCATTTAATACTAGAATTCATTAAAATAATGTATATAAAAGCATCAATACGTATAGAAAAAAATCTACTACGGTTTTCAAAAGCACGTCTTTTCCTTGACACTGCTATTATTTTAACTATCTTCACTCCTCGGCAATGTTTGTTATTTTAAAAAGCGATGATTACAGGCTTTTCTACCGGATGTAGTTTATCGTTATATCCAGGACTAGAAATAGCGATTGAATAGCGTCAAGCTTGCAATGTTTTGTCTATAGGTAAAGAGGCTGCAGAGTGGAAAATAAGACTTGCCAAAAAATACCGCGTCAAAAATTGCAAATAAAACTGCTTGAAACTTTTACCACTACTTTCCCGTTACCTTTCCACATATCTCTCTTCTTTACTATCGCTGAATTACTATGATTTCTTGGAAATTTTCCATTTATTTCAAGTCATGACAACTTTCGGATTTTGGAGGTTTTCGGTTTTTAGAATTTCGGATAATGGATATTCAACCTGTAGTAGCAAATTGAAAGAACCGCGCTACTAAATTTTGAATTGACTTTCTTCTCGTTCGTTGATCAATTAGTTCAGCTGATTTTTCGAAGAAATTCCAAAAGTCATATCAGCACCTGTAAAACTTTCGGGTTTTGGAGGTCTTCAGATTTTGGAATTTTGGATAAAGGATACTCAACCTGTTTGACAAAAACATCTACTTATCTTGAATATATTATTAGAAATAAAAAGTTGGTTAACTTGGATCTTCATGTTCGCAAAAAATAAATAAATAAATAAAAATAAAAAATCAGTGCCAAAAGAACCCTTTTTTTCCTTGACACCGCTATTATTTTAACTCTACGGCAATGTTTGTTGTTTTAAAAAAGCGATGATTAGAGGCTTTTCTACTGGATGTAGTTTATCGTCATATTCAGGACTAGAAATAGCGGTTGAGTAAGCGTTAGGTTTGCAATGTTGTGTCTATGGGAAAAGAGGCTGAACAGTGGAAAATAAGTCATATCAAACAATACCGCGTCAAAAATTATAAATAAAACAGTTTGAAATATTTAGCACAGTAAAAATTTCAAGCAATTTCATATTTTCATTTTTTTTCTTTTTGCTTGGTTGGTGGGGCGTTCACTATTTTGCTACCACCCCGAGTCGGGAAGGATATGGGAACACCAGCAATTAAGAGGTGGTTCCACCCACCTCAAAACTTCCAATCTCCCGATCAGAGACTTTCCCGTCGGATGTAGTCTATCGTCATATCCAGGACTCTCAGGGTAAGAGAGAACGAGATGACAAAAGTAAGTAAAAGTAAACGGATAATATGCGCGTTTTTTTTTTTTTGTCTTTTTTTTTTTTTTGTTATGGGACCTTACCCATAATAACATAATGGACTATTCCATACGTAATAAATACTGCGCCTCAAGAGGAAGCAGGGAGTTCAGCCCGAAGTCGGGCGACTGGCTGACCGGCTGATCGGTTGAACTCTCTGCCTTCGGGCGGGGAGGAACACGAACGAGGCTACGCCGAAGGGCGGATTCTCTTTCGGGGAGGTAAACTGACCCTGAACCCGTTTATACGGGTTCAAAGGGCATATTTTGGGCCGAGCCCCCGGGATCGGAGATCCCACGTTAAACCGGCCTTGTGCCAGATGATGCCCTTGTGGGGGGGGGTGACTAAATACCGTTCAGTCTGAAGTCGGGCGACCGGCTGATCGGTTGAACTCTCTGCCTTCGGGCGGGGAGGAACCCGAACGAGGCTATGCTGAAGGGCGGAGTCTTTTTCGGGGAGGTAAACCGACCCTGAACCCGTTTATACGTTTAACCAGCCTTGTGCCACATGATGCCCTCGTGGGCGGGGGTGACTAAATACCGTTCCGTCTGAAGTCTGAGTTCAGTCTGAAGTCTGAGTTCCGTCTGAAGTCTGTAGTTCCGTCTGAAGTCTGTAGTTCCGTCTGAAGTCTGGGTTCCGTCTGAAGTCTGGAGTTCCGTCTGAAGTCTGGAGTGAAGTTCGTCAGGAGTCAGTAAGTCGAGTCAGAGGCAGTCTGAAGCAGAGTCGCGTTCAGACAATTACTACTAAACCTGATTGTTCGTACTAACACTTTCTTCTTCTCTGTATATATTCCTGTTTGTGATATATCTGTGTTATTCCATATCCGCCTTCGAGTTCTTCTTTATTGGTTCTACCTTGGACTATCACCGTGGTACAAGGAACTGGACCATAACAGTTTTGTACGAAAGTGACCGAATAAAAAATATAAGAGAAGAAAAGAGCATTTCTATACGAGAGAGAAAAATTAATTGTGACTGAAGATTAATGAGAAATACAGGGTGTCACAATAACAGATAGAGTAAAAGAGAATATCTTAAAGGCGGGAAAAATCATTGAGACGGACTACAAATCAACTGGGTGAGTAACAAAGAAAGAATATTTTGAGAAATGAAAGAATGAGTAAAACAATGATTATGTGAAAAAAAAGAAAGAAAGGATGAAAGGAAGGCAAAGAAAGAAAGAATTGTTCAGAAAGAAAAAGGAGAAAGCAAAAGAAAGAAAGAAAGAAAGAAAGAAAGAAAGAAAGAAACAAACAAACAAACAAACAAACAAACAAAGTGGGGAAAGAAAGAAAGAAACAAACAAACAAAAAAGATCAAGGAAAGAAAGTACGACAAAGAAAGTGGGGAAAGAAAGAAAGAAAGAAAGAAAGAAACTGCTCAGAAAGAAAAAAGAAGAAATGAAGAGAAAGAAAGAAAGAAAGAAAGAAAGAAAGAGAGAAAAGAAACTGCTCAGAAAGAAAAAAGAAGAAATAAAGAGAAAGAAAGAAAGAAAGGAAAAGGAACAAGGAAAGATAGAAATACGACAAAGAAAGAAAGAAAGAAAGAAAGAAAGTGTGACATCAAAAGAAATCAAAGAAAGAAAGAAAGTGTGACATCAAAAGAAATCAAAGAAAGAAAAAAGTATAGCTAAGAAAGAAGGAAATAAAGAAATACAGGTTTAAAATCTTTAAAAAAGGAATGAAAAACAAGAAAAAATATGAAGAAGAATTAAATAAATAAATAAATAAATAATATGAAGCATTAAATAAATAAATTTAAAAGGATAGACATTAAATAAAACAAAAAATAGACCAATATAAAGTAAGTAAACAAAAAGAGAAAAAAAAAACGTAAATGATCAGAAAGGAAGTCATTTTTAAAGAAGCTGAAAGAACAAAAAAAGAAGGAAAAAAAATTTCTGTGATATTTTCAATGATGTAATAATCCGAATAATATGATGGGTACAAAAATTCCTTTAAAAACAAAATAAAATAAATGCTGACACAGTTTTCATCCCATTTTGAAGACTTCCGTCTCTTCGTTATTAAGGGCAAGCATTTAGTTTCATGGCGAGAGTTTTCGTCTCAATGGCGGCGTCCATCTTCTTGCCTCTTCACTCTGATAGCTTGAAGATGGGTATCACGTTCACGCTATAGGTCAAGCTGATAAAATATGGGACACTTCCGGTGACGGTGACCGCAAATAATATCTGTGCTTGTGCGAACATGAAACGCATAGATAGGCACACTCCCAAAGATACAAACACAGGCACATGTAAGACATACAGGCAGAGAGAGCAGTGCGCTTGGGGCTCTCTAGATTCTTTTTTTACCTTCTTCTTCTTCTTCTTTTTCTTCTTCTTTATGGGATGTGTTCTCTCAGGACGTAGGCGATCATGGCAAAATAAAGAAAGAGGCAGAAAAAGAAATACTATATGTACTATCTGTAAATAAATATACCGCAAAACTAAGATAGATAGATAGATAGATAGATAGATAGATAGATAGATAGATAGATAGATAGGAAAAGATTGCGATAGATTGATACCTAGCTAGATAGATACGAAAAGATTGGGATAGCTAAGTAGCTAGCTAGATAGATAGATACTCTCTTCGCACAATCTCTCTCTCTTTCTCTCTCTCTCTCTCTCTCTCTTCGTCTTGCTTATAGTTAATATGTATTAGGCTTTTATAGAAGATGTCAATGTTATTGTTTATATCTGTATGTTCACTATCACTATTAATTACATAGAAAGAATTAATAGAAAGAAATAGTCTAATCTGGTGGTCGATGAGGTAATTAGGAAAACCATTGTTAACTAGCATCTGTTTTACATTATTGAGTTTTTAAGAAAAAGTGGACAAGAAGATGAATTCCCGCGTGCTCTCTTTAGAATTTTTTTTAGAATTAGTATTTTATATCTAAGTTGGTGGCCATTTACTCTTAAATTTAAAGTGGCAAGAGTTTCTGATAGTAGGTTTGTTGTATCATGAAATGGCGAATGTCTTATTACTGAATTCTAGGAAAACCTCTAAGAATGGAAGGTTCATATGTAAAGTTATGTTTTTTTTAATGTGGTTTTGAGATTATCAATTTCTTGTTTGTTTTTCGCTAAAATAATAATATTGTCTACATAGCGGACATATATTTTGGGTTTAGTGACATGTTTAAAAATTTTGTTTTCTACATAGGACATGTTAGAGAAGCATGGGCCGAGATGATTTCCCATATCAAACCGAAATAATTACATTGGTCATACTACTACATGTCTATCTAGACGACTCACGTTAAACCTACCAGACCATAGCTCCATTAGGACTCATTTAAGCACACACAAACCCTAGCAAACTCCATCCAATACAGACTTTCAGAAAATACAAGTATAATAACCTAAACCACATGTAAAAAAGATAAAAAAAATAATGGAAGCTATAATAATAAAAAAGGAAAAGCCAAACACTCAATAACATTAATTATGAACACGGCCACAATGCACTGACCGTGTTCAGAAAATAAAACATTCCTATAACTATAGACATAAAAACACACATTTATTTGAAAATAAACAAAAAAAAAAACGCCCATGATAATGGCTAAAAGAATAACCGAAGGTGCTCGGATATGCAGAAATTTTGAACAGTTGTTATATGCTTTGTGTCCAGAAAAGAAAACACTTGTAAGAACACAAGAAAAATTAAATAAAAAGCATAATTGCAGTAATTTCGTAACGAAACAAACAAACACACACATACACACACACACACACACACACACACACACACACACACACACATATATATATATATATATATATATATATATATATATATAACATATCGCAACATACAGTGATAGTGTTAATATAAAACAATGCTCGATGTAATATAAAATTACGTAAAAAGAAAGAAAGAAAGAAAAGAAAGAATTTCAATTAAATAGCTTCGAAAAAATGCTATATATTAAGCGTATGGAAATAACTTGCATATTTATTCTTTAAAGCAGTTTTCTAGTTTGTTTGTTCGTTTTTTTTTTTTGTTTTTTTTCGAAAAAGATAGATAGATAGATAGATAGATAGATAGGAAGAGACTGAGACAGTTTTCCTATTGTCATTTATATTTATAAATATTGTCTTTTCTACAGGTAACTCTGAAAAATGTTCATATATGTATATAGGTGGGTGTGTGTGTGGCATCTATCGGTTTCGAGAAATCTTGGATCTGTGTCCGATAAATTTCATAGAAAATATATGCCCTCCTACAAGAATCGAACTGGTATCCTACACGAACAGACATATAGCCTGACGTGCTATATCATTTAACTACAGAGGAAACATCTGGTTAGCAAGATCAAATTTCTGCTTTTAAACAGCAAATTTCCAATGATTTCCCTCGAACGCTCATATCTGCTCTAAGCGTATCCTAACGTAAACAAAGGCCTTGCTAACTAGACGATACCTCTGTAGCTAAATGGTATAGTACGCCAAGCCATATGACGGTTTGGTGTAGGATATAGTTTCAATTCCTGTCGGGGGACAAGGCGAAACATTCCTGAAGGAATTGTTCCTCGAGATTTTTGCTAAAGCTGTCCAATTTGAATAAAATAAAGATGTCATTTTATGGAAAAATTTCATTTATCTGATAGAGGAGTTTGAATTTGATACTAGTTAATAATTGCCAGGCTTACAGCCATATCACGTTGAAAGACCGGTTCTTGTACGATCACTGAAGTTAAGCAACATCGAGCCTAGCCAGTAACCCGACAGCTGATACAACTAGACAAAAAGAGAGTGCAACACAGAGAGGGACTAGAGGAGACCATCTTAAATCAAGACAGTTGTTTGTTGTAAGGGTTTAAATCATGCCTCACTGGCTTACGGCTACACTGCATTGAAACATAGGTTCCGATAAGATCACCAAAGTTAAGCAACGTCGAGCTTGGTCAGTACCTAGATGGGTTACCGCTTGGAAATACCAGGTGATTAGTGTGCTAATATATAGATTAAAGGATACGTACTAATCGAAAAGGCATTAATCAAGGGATACCTATATATATATATATATATATATATATATACAGTGTAACCCGGATATAAGAGACCCGGATATAAGAGAGATTTTCTCTGGTCCCAAAGTGTTCCCATACTTACCTAAACAAAATAGACCAAACCCGGATATAAGAGACTTCTTCTCCGGTCCCGACAACTCTCTTATATCCGGGTTACACTATATAGTTGGGGAGTGAGTTATTGCGTATATATTCATATATATATAAAACAACTTCAAAGTTTGCACAAACAATATTGTTCTTTGGGATCTTTTGCAGTAAAAAAAATCCTGATGTGTTTATATATTGTACACTGTTCAATTATTAACGCTAATTGAACGGAAGTGTTCAAATTCAAGTTATATTTGTTTTTGAAAAGAAAAAAGAACTTTCGTAAAAAAAAATTATGTGAGACAGACGGGTAAAATTAGTCGTGTTGAATATTTATTTTACGAATTTAACTATATTTTAATTTTCAAAAAAATAAGGCTCTCTATAGCTTTTAGCTTTAATAAAACTTAATTTAAAATTATTTACTTTTTTCATGTTAGTAACAAACCAAAAAAACGATGAAGTTTATTGAATAAAAAATGATTTTCCATAACATAAATAAATCTTTTTTCCGTATCATAGTTTCATGATGGGTCGGAAACACGGAAATAAATTCAAGAAAATAGAAAATTTAAAAATACACATAGCTTTTCGAAATTATCAGCAGAATTAAAAAGTAAAAAGAATAATAATTATTCCGGTTCATTTTTACTTTTTAATTCTGAGAATTTCAAAACGCTTACATGGCTAAAAATGGATTCTAATGCAATTTTGTGGAATTTGGTAATAGTCAGTTAAGTGCCATGAGTGATACACGCTTAGGCGATCATGTATTTTTCGATACATGACTGACGAGGCAATTTTTTTTTTCTGCAGTAGGTAGCCATTTCTTTCTGCGGTAGACTAGTTGCTATCCAAGGCTATAGAACCTGGTATGTCCTGCTATTTACCCATAGCTTGTGGGGAAAAGAGGATTCATACCTTTCTCAAGGTTATTAGCACGTAAATTGAATGTAAGGGATTCGAATGGAATTTGAAATTTGGTAATAGTTTTGGGAAAAAATAAATAAATTTTTAAAAAAATCTGGTGATAGGTTGCACTTAGTAGGACGAGAAATAAGCAGACTCCGAGATTACAGAGTGAGATCTACTGACTATCAAGTTGAAATTACAGAGTGAGATATACGGACTGTCAAGTTGAAATTACAGAGTGAGATCTACGGACTATCAAGTTGAAATTACAGAGTGAGATATACGGACTGTCAAGTTGAAATTACAGAGTGAGATCTACGGACTATCAAGTTGAAATTACAGAGTGAGATATACGGACGGACCGTCAAGTTGAAATTACAGAGTGAGATCTAGATCAAGTTGAGATCTACAGAGTGAGACGGATCAAGTTGTTGAAATTACAGAGTGAGATATACGGACTGTCAAGTTGAAATTACAGAGTGAGATCTACGGACTATCAAGTTGAAATTACAGAGTGAGATATACGGACTGTCAAGTTGAAATTACAGAGTGAGATCTACGGACTATCAAGTTGAAATTACAGAGTGAGATATACGGACTGTCAAGTTGAAATATACGGACTATCAAGTTGAAATTACAGTTGAGATATACGGACTGTCAAGTTGAAATTACAGAGTGAGATCTACGGACTATCAAGTTGAAATTACAGAGTGAGATATACGGACTGTCAAGTTGAAATTACAGAGTGAGATCTACTGACTATCAAGTTGAAATTACAGAGTGAGATATACGGACTGTCAAGTTGAAATTACAGAGTGAGATCTACTGACTATCAAGTTGAAATTACAGAGTGAGATATACGGACTGTCAAGTTGAAATTACAGAGTGAGATCTACGGACTATCAAGTTGAAATTACAGAGTAAGATCTACGGACTATCAAGTTCTCAGACCTTCCAAAGTTTACACAAAAATATTGTTTTGGGAACATAATTTGGGGGGTCAATATAGAGCATTTGTGAAGATAAACAGATATCTTTCCTGAGGTGTTTATAAATTGTAGTTTCGATTAAACGAAAATTACTTACAATATAATACATATTACATATAATACATTCCTTCTCGCGGTCAATTTTGGAGGCACGGGTACACTAGTATATATATATATATATATATATATATATATATATATATTCTTTCGCCATTTCTAAAATTATTTAAAACATCTCTCGCTGTTATTTAAGAAAAAAATAAAGTATCTTTACAAAAATAACTTGCTCAATAAGATGTTCGCCAAAGATTTGGACATAAAAATATATACATTAGCGTCTGGATAAGATATGTGAATTATTTTATTTCATTAGTTATTGACACACACGCTTCCATATCCATATATATATATATATATATATATATATATATATATATATATATATATATATAATACATAGTTATACAAGTACGTATTTTTATACATATGTTTATTCATATTGTTAACTATTATATACTGTGCATTTCCTTACCTTTTCGTTCCCGCTCCCCCGAAAATGTCTCCTTACAACTATCGGACAATGACATGACAATAGTCACGTGAACGTTTCCGCCATCATATCTTTGGAATTCCAAGTCGTTTTCTTTTTTCATCCGTTCCTCTGCCATTTTGGCATTTTATGTTTCTGTAAAGCAGTCAGTCGTATTAGTCTTTAAGAATTTTCCAGATTTTAACCGATGGGTGGAGGAGAATATTGCATAAAAAATACATATATGTACATTTTTTAGTGGCGTGGGGGGATGCAAACTAAAAAAAAATATATGCAAAGATTCCCAAAACAATGATATTAAGAATTTGTGTTTCAAGAACATTTTTCATTGCGTAAGAATAAAAATGGTGACTTCAATGCCATAATGTTAATATGACGTGGCAGAAATGTAAAAGGAATAAACTTTTATTTATTAGATGTTTTTTCAGTGATTATTCCTGCAGACACATTCTGGAACTTAGGGAGAACCATAACTAGATCAAGTGCTACTATGTGCCCTTGGAGTGACAAGTTTATTATATATTAAACCTGATAACAGAAATATAAGAGGATTCCATTTGAGAGAGAGAGAGAGAGAGAGGGAGAGAGAGAAAGAGGAGAACAGAAAAAGAAAAGGTAAGCAAATGAATAGATATGAAATAAGTGGATAAGATAGATAGATAGATATGGAATGGCTGAGAAAGAAAGAAAGAAAGAAAGAAAGAAAGAAAGAAAGAAAGAAAGAAAGAATTTCAATTAAATAGCTTCGAAAAATGGTACATATTATGGAAATAACTTGCATATTTATTCTTTAAAGCAGATATGGAATGGCTAAGAAAGAAAGAAAGAAAGAAAGAAAGAAAGAAAGAAAGAAAGAAAGAATTTCAATTAAATAGCTTCGAAAAAATGGTATATATTAAGCGTATGGAAATAACTTGCATATTTATTCTTTAAAGCAGTTTTCTAGTTTGTTTGTTTTTTCGAAAAAGATAGATAGATAGATAGATAGATAGATAGGAAGAGACTGAAATAGATAGATAGATATGTAGATAGATAGATAGATAGATAGATAGATTGATGAATATGAACAGCTTGTGATAGATAAATAGATAGATATATATAAATAAACAAACTGAGGCAGAATGAAAGAAAGAAAGAAAGAAAGAATAAATAGAGAAGATTTTCATTAAATAGATTCGAAAAAAAATTGTATATTTTAAGCGTATGGAAATAACTTTTGCATATATATTCTTTGAAGCAGTTTTCTATAGTTTTCGCCATAGTGCATAACAAATTTAACATAGTGCATCGGGACTTGAATTGAGAAATCGTCGAGCTGAGTTCGAATTCACGCCATTTTCATTACATTCACTTTTGCACAAATACACTTGGAAAAAGTACGAATCTTTCTCCTCTCCTCCCCAAGCTATAGATTAAATAACAGTCTCGGCTGTCTAGGACCTGTTGTCAACCAGTCTAGGAGAAGGATAGATATGAGTTCAAAATCGTATCTCGCTCTGGTAAAGCGTGCATAATGAAGACATCGAAAAATCTCGTGAAGTTCACAATGACTATATGATCTCGACTACGTTTGATTTCCTAGAATAATATTGCACCCTTTTTTAAAAAAATAATACTTTATTCTAGCAGAGTAGACCCTCTTTTTATGATCATGCAAAGTTGAAGAGTGAGCCGGTCTAAAAGCACGTTGCATCTAACGACGGTTTTCCCCTGTTAGGGGAAACGCGAGATCGAATCCTGCCGGAGAAAAGCATATTTTTCTTTAATAACCCTCCTTGAAAATTCAGGCCATGGGACGAAAATAAATAAATATACTGTTTAATAAATAAACGAATCGTCTAGTCAAACATGTGGATCCATTAAAATTAACGTTTAAGTTAAAAATCTGTCGGGTTAATAAATATAAATCTATCTTTGTCTGTTCTTTAGTAAAAAAAATTAAAAAAAATAAAAACTCGATAAAACTTAATAAAGAAAATGTGCCCGCCAGCAGGATTTGAACCTGTGTAACGTCTGATCCCTGGTGCTTTAGACCATTCGGATACAGAGAGGTTTTTTTTTTTTTATCTCGAAAGCCATATCTGCTATTTCGGATCTGAAACGAAAACAAAGCAATTTCTAAAGATTAAATGGATTTTTTAAATTTTTAATTCGACAGTGGTCGCCGGGTCAAACGGCGGTTCATCCTAAGAAGAGGTATGCACGTTCGAATCCTACTGTAGTACAATTTCATTATTAAGTTTTCATAAGTAGACGAAATAAAGCCTGTTTTTTTTTTTTTAAAAAAAAGGCGGGGTGTCTACTAAAATACGGGTATCCACTAAAAATAAGGTTTGAAGTAATATGTTCGATTAAAAAAACATAATCTCAAATTAAAGATAAAATCAGTGAGGGATTTGTGCCCCCCCCCCTTTTTTGATCAAAATTAAATATACTTATCTAACTACACTAGGAGACATTGCCTTGTTCAAATTTAGATTTAATTCATATCAAAGGGAAAAACATTTTCACTGGAGCGGGGTGCCCCCCATCGGGACACTGCTTTGATCAAAATGAAATATACTTATCCAAATAACCTGGGTAATGTAGTTTCAGAATATATATGGTGGTGATGGGGGGGGCAGTCTATCTCCAAAATCCTAGAAGTTCGATAACAGACAAACAGAGGCTACAACTTTATAGATCTGGTATTGAACATCAACTATTGTCTTTAATGAGAAATTCCCAACGCCCACAGCAACGTGACTGGACTGGTATTTAGCCGACTCCCCACGGCGAGGTGATGTGACACAAGATCGAGTTTATTGAGCGCGTACACTCGGGCAAGAGCCAAAATTACCCAACCCCGCAACCGTCGTCTGCGCTGGCATCGATGTTACAACCCCGCCCCTTACACCCCCACGTACACACACATTCTAGTGCAATGCTGTGGGCACTGTCGCGGGTAGATGTACCTCTGGACGGGCACCTCACAGTAATCCCCTCCCGCCAGAGCTGTGTCCGCGGACAGGGACGCAACTGAGTTGAACTCTGATCGAAGACAGAGACTCAATTGAGTGATCTACCATTACCTGTATTAGTATGTATATATATATATATATATATATATATATATATATATATATATATATATATATATATATATATATATATATATATACGGTGAGAAGAAGTGTTTAAATGCGTCTCACCAGGCGTTTGCAATTTTGTAGCGATTCTTACATGTTTTGTTGTAAAAGCCTAATATATACTCTCTCTTTCTATATATATATATATATATATATATATATATATATTTTCTTGCAATGTGAATTGTTATTCTGTGAATTTAATATTTACCAAATATATTCTTCTGACCAAGTTTTGGTTGAAAACGATCCATAAAGAAGAATGCTTTTCTGCATTTTTAAGTCTATATATAAGTTCTGTGGTAACAAACTTCTGTTTAAACACACACACACACACACACACATATATATATATATATATATATATATATATATATATATATATATATTTGGGTATATGTATGATCGATTGTATGCATGCTTTATATGTATACGATTGTATGCGTGCTTTGCGTACGTATATATATGTATATATATATATATATATATATATATATATATATATATATATATATATATATATATATATATATAGAGAGAGAGAGAGAGAGAGAGAGAGAGAAAGAGTGAGGGTGTGTGTCTATTTTGAAAATACGCGAGTTTGCGTCTTGTGGGTTTGCATTTGTGGAAAATGACCTCATTTTGAATTGGATCGATTCCGATCATATATACGTTTATATATATATATATATATATATGAAGAAATTTATATCCATTTACACTTGCTTATATATATATATATGTGTGTGTGTGTGTGTGTGTGTGTGTGTGTGTGTGTGTGTGTGTGTGTGTATTGTGTCTTTCTTACAACGGCTTTACATTCTCTTTCCCCAACCGAAGTACATTATTTAAGATTTAGAAGAAAAATATCTGGTAGCTCACGGTACACGTGAGAAAATATGTACTTAGAAGAAAGAAAGAAAGAAAGAAAGAAAGAAAGAAAGAAAGAAAGAAAGAAAGAAAGAAAGAAAGAAATGGGTGGAGATAAGAAAACAAAACGTACGAAAGACAGAAAAAAAAGAAAGAAAATTACATGAAAGGAAACGAAAAAAACTTAAGAAAGGTAAGGAAATAAAAAATGAAAAGGAAAAAGGAACGAGAAAAGAAAAAAAAAGGTAAAGAAAAAGAAAGAACAAAGTAAATAAATAAAAGCCTTGTCTCCCACCCATTGCTTCTATATCTACATACATACATAGATACATACGCTGAACAACCCCAACACTGAATCCCAAAACAAAGACAAAAAAAAAAGGAGGGAAGAAAAAAGACAAGCCGAAATCGTCTCTTATAGCATCGAGCCGTGCATCGTTAGGGAGAGGGTCGGGTATTTCTAATCGCATTCCGGTTATGCCAGTGTCATTGCCGACTGGAATTGGTCGAATAGTTATAGTTTCGTGCTGGGATTCTTTCCCAACGAAAACAACATGACACGAAGTGCTTCAGGTAGACAAGGGAGAGGGTGGAAAGAGAAGGAAAAAAAAGAATGAAGTAGAATATAAAGAGAAAGAGAGAGAGAACGAGAGAGGTAGGGGTAAATAAAGGGAGAGCAACTTTATACAAGAGGATCATTGGAATTAATATAAAAAAAGAAGCTAGGCGATAGACATTCAGGGATTCAAATGAATGTGTACATGTACGTGTACGTGTACATGTACACAGGAAATAGTGCATCTGACTACAGATAGATAGATAGATAGATACAGAATTGCATAGATAGATAGATAGATAGATAGATAGAAACAGAATTGCATAGATAGATAGAAAGATAGATAGACACAGAATTGCATAGATAGATAGATAGATAGAAACAGAATTGCATAGATAGATAGATAGATAGATAGAAACAGAATTGGATAGATAGATAGATAGATAGATAGATAGATAGATAGATAGATAATGAGTTTCCAATGTACAATTTTAAGCGGCATTTGTATTTCTTCTCACCCCCCACACATAATTCGTTCTATGGACAAAACGCGTTAGTTTAGACATTTTTGTTCATTTTGGCATTAAGTTATCCACTATTAATATATATATATATATATATATATATATATATATATATATATATATATATATATATATATGTGTGTGTCTTTTTGCGGTTGAAATTGGAGTGACCTCTCCAAGGTGTCAGCCTGGCCGATAGTATATAGAGGCTGTACGTCACCCAGACTACATGTCCCTCACTTGTCTCGGTCGTACCGACAAGATCCAAAGGAAGACAGGGCATTACATTTGGGTCCAGGTTTTCTGTCTGGATTTCCTTCCATAGCCTTCTCCCCTGTTTGGATAAGACTGCAAGGCAGCGGATGTTTAAAATCATTTTCTTTTCCTAGATTGACTGCTTTCTGCGCAGTTAAACTCCTTCCCCGAGAATTGGCGTTCTGAACTGAAGGAAAGATGACGCGTTTTGTGAAAAATCCCAAAAATTACCGCATTTTAAGTTTAACTGAAAAACGTAAATATTGCTTAAAAGTAATATAATATTTTAATATAATTTGGAATTATTTCTTTTATTATATATATTTGAAGTTATATATGTATTGCTTATTATCACGGTGGAGTAATGGATAACGGCTTGGATTGAGGAATCGGAGAGTCGAGTTCGAATACCAGTCGAATCCATTATATTCACTTACGTGCTAATACCCTTGGGAAAGGTGTGAATCCTCTTCTTCTCCCTCCAGCTATGGGTAAATAGCAGGACAGACTGCGTTCTATAGCTTTGGATGGCAACTGGTCTAGGAGAAGGAAAACTCTGAATTCAAAACCCGCGGAGGGTGAATGGAGTCTCTCTCAGCCTTGGTTGGCAATCCATTTAGTGATGGTGTCACGATAAAAAACACCCTTGATAGCCCTAGCGAAGCATCAAGTATTCAGCTATTTGACAAGATTATGAACTACACCAATCAAAGTATTAGCTATGACAGATAAGGAATACTGGAAAGGTGTAGTGAGTTCAATCTTGGCTGAGGCCGCAAGATGATGATGATTATCATATCTTTCAATTCTTTTTGACTTACCGGGTTTTCTGTATTAGTATTTATTTATTTTTTTACAACTAACCTGAAAATCATTTGTTTTATTTTTATTTATTTTACTTTCTGTTTTTACTTACCTAAAGTTATATTTATCAACTTTACATTTTTCTACTCTCGTCTAATTTTTATCAATTGACAGTTTAGGTGTTAGTACTGTCAAAACTGTTGTGGTTCTACAGAAAGATGCTAAGGATATCATGGACCGAGTGTGTGAGCAACGATGAGGTCTTGGAGAGGATGCAAACGAGGAAGCTTACACTTAAAAGGAAGAGGCAGATGAAATTTTGGGGACATGTAAGGGAAAAAGGAGGAAAAGAGAGGGAAAAAGAGACAAAGGAAAGCAATGCATGACATACCTGGCGGGCTTAAGCAAGTGGATAACAGAACGTGGTCTGAGAGAGTTGGCAAATGCACGAAACTTGAGAGCTACAAGGGATACGGAAAAGTGGAGAGCCATGATCGTCTACATCCTGAAAGGGCATGGCATATAAAAAGAAAAGACTGTTAAAACGGCAGTATAAATGATTTTATTGTATAAATAATTACTTCATAATCTCTGAGTAGTATTTTGGCCTAAAATCCAGATTTATATTTTAACTTTTTGTTTCTGATATCTTTTTTTGAAAATTAACAAACATTTCAGTATGTGTTTGTTTACGTACTATTTCGTAATTAGTCTTGCTCATATTTTTGTTTAACTAACTTTATATATATATATATATATATATATATATATATATATATATATATATATATATAAAACTGTTAATTTTTTTTTTAGCTTTTATGACGCGTAATGTATATCATGTTTATATACATATATTATATATATATATATTCAAAAGCCGGAGGTGATAGTGGGAACAACAGCCTACTGTCTATAAAATGTTTCTGTGGCATGCGTCTTAAATAGCCTCTGACAACACAGTTCAGCTTCAAGCCGAAGAATGGGCGAAGGCGGAAAACTGGCGCCTCATAACCAGCTGCGTATGTATATATATATATATATATATATATATATATATATATATATATATATATATATAATATTACAATAAATGATTCATACAAAAAGTGAATTAGTAAAGTTAATGATATAAAATGGCGAAATCTCTTCGCTAACAAAATTTTAAAGATGCATTAACCTACTAATCACTCGATGAATGTTTTGATCCTTGTTTGTTTGTTTTTTAATTATAAGCTGTATAAGGTCGTTCTTAAATATGCAAGTACTTTTAACTGTACATTCAGTCATCTTCAGGCATGGAAATTATTTTTTTTTTTTTTGGTAAAGTTCAGGTAGCACCCAAAACGAAAAAAATAATGCGAATCGAAATATGTTTTTTTTTTTTTAAATAACGGATACAAACTTTTGGAGCGTGCAGTCGCAATGCTAAGATCGAATTTTTTGGAAAAGTTAAGTGAGTGCGCTTTTTACTAATATGGCAATTTGAGATTTTTTTGTTGTAGGAGTTTATTTATATATATATATATATATATATATATATATATATATATATATATATATAATAAGAAAATAAATTCAAATAATTGTTGGGCTTAATCTATTTCATATTTCATGTCATTTGTTTGCGTTAAGATACGTTTCGAGCAGATATGAGCGTTTGACTGAAATCATTGGAAATTTGTAGTTTTAAAAACAGTAATTTGACCTTGCTAACCAGACGCTTCCTCTGAAGCTAAGTTATATAGCACGTCAGGCTATATGACGGCTGTGTAGGACACAGGTTCGATTCCTGCCGGAGGACAAATATTTTCTATGAAATTTCTCGGACACTCAAACCGGTAAATGTTAATAGTGTTTATTATAAACAGAGCATTTACTTAGGTACTAGGCAGGAGTTCAAGATACTAGCAAGTTCTGCATGATACTAACAAGGACTGCATATATATATATATATATATATATATATATATATATATATATATATATATATATATATGCACCTCTGGTCAAAATCTTAAGCTTAAAATGTTCACTTGTTTGTTGATAAACTACATTTCCTAATTAAATGTAAATGTTTCGCAAATATATTTTGATTAAAGTAACAGTATTTTATTTTTTAACCCTATAATAAATAAAAGTGTAACTTTAAAAAATAATATTAAAACAACAAAGTAAATTTAAAAGAAGGAGAAAATTAAATATAATTATTTGACAAAAATGTTTAATATTTATTCATTTAAATATTTGAGCGTGTGTGTGTGTGTCCGGCTAAAACTAAAAAGAACTAGGATAATTAACGTGTGTGTGTGTGTGTGTGTGTGTGTGTGTGTGTGTGTGTGTGTGTGTGTGTGTGTGTGTGTGTGTGTGCATTTATTGATTTATTAATATTTTTCGACTTAGCGAGTCTTATTTTTTCGAAAATTAATTTAAAATATAGTTAAATTCGTAAAACAAATATTCATTTCTGTCTCTGCTAATTTTTATTTAATTTTTTTTCTTTTCAAATACAAATATAACTTTAAATTTAAACAAAATCGATTTTCAAAACTAAATTCTCAAAGTTTCTTGCTTCTACTCTCTTTTAAGGTTTAAAAGTAAAACTTTATTTACTTAAAAATATCTAAATTCCCCTGCAAAATAAATGGTAAAAAATTATTTTTCGAAGAAGTAAGGCTCGTTTTTGTTTTTGCTTGAAAACAAGGATTAAATTAAATGTTTAGTTTAAATAAATCTCACTTTAAGTTTATTTACATTTTTTATTAATAATAATTTGAGAAAAGGTTAATATACTTTTTTATCGAAGTTTAATTTGTTTGAAAACATTAACAGAGTATTTATGTTAGTATTTAAAAATAAAGTGTCTTTCTGAATAAAAATAAGGGGGGATGTTCAGCCCCTAAGCCCCAACCCCCGATCGTGGTATTTGTAGTGTGGTATTTTCCTAAACTTAGTTATTTTGTAACAAAAAAAAAAACACAAAAAAAAACAATGAAGTTTATTTTTTAAAGATTGAATAAAATATTATTTTCCATTCCATTATTCAGAGATTTTCCGAGCAACATCAGGTATCCCTGCTGGTATATATATATATATATATATATATATATATATATATATATATATATATATATATATATATATATATATGTAGATAGATACAAAAGGGTTAAAAATATAAAATACTGTTACTTTAATATTTGCGAAACATTTACATTTAATTAGAAAATGTAGTTTATCAACAAACAAGTGAACATTTTAAGATTAAGATTTAACCAGGGGTATATATATATATATTATAATTATTTATTTTTAAATATGATTCCTTCGC